CAACTATTAGCAGCTTTTTAGCTTTTTATAGCCCAACATCCTGAAAAATTGAACACCTACATGCAGTCCAGAAAATGCCTATATTTAGGGGAAACGACTATGATTTTATTCACAAGAGACAAAAGCCTGAATTAAGGCAGTGATGGTAAAAGACAGTCAATGGGATGAATTCTATGTTAGCGAAAAAGAATGGGCAGGTGACTGATCAGAAATGGAGGGGAAAGAAAGGAAAGAGTCTAGGATGACAGCCAGGTATTTAGACACTTGGTGGACAGTGATGTGATCACCAAGATGAAGACTCCAGAAGGTGGGGAGGTTCAGCTTAGGCTGCCAGTGTAGGAGTCCTGTGTGCAGCTGGGACTATACTAGGGAGAGAAGACTGGGTGAGAGAGATTTGGGAGTCATCAATACACCTGAGAGACGGTACGTATCCTTAGTTATTGTACAATTTCTATGGGCAGATACTATGCTAAGCACTTCGTAAAATTCACTTATTCATCAAAGCCCTATGAGATAGAAACTATTACTATAATCATTTTGTAGATAACTGTCAAATAACTTGAGGTTAAATAATGTGTTCCAGGTTAGAATGCTAATAAGCAGCAAAGCCAAAGCTCATATGCATTTGACACCAAAGGCAACCCCCTCAAACTGCTACGTTGTTTCCTTCTACCGGGAATGCACAAAGTAGGAAGGCGGCCAATGCAAACTCCTGGGCAGCACCAATACCTCTGTATAAACACTTGGAATAATTTCCAAATATAACTCCAAAAGGCCTCACCATCACAACTAATGAAAACACTGATTCTTCCTCCCTTTCAGAGAAAACACCTAGTGATTTTTCATAATTTTGAAGATGACACCATATGTCTCAATTTATGAATCATGATTTAGCTCAATCCTGAAAACAGACACAAGAAATTTATTAAGTATATGACAGTGGGGAAATAAATGATAGGCTATGACACTTTTTATTGTTTTCTTAATATAAATATTCTCTCATCCAGGGTAGGCAACTATTATAATCACACAAGAAGCATATTTAACCTAGTAATAAGGATTTGTCCTCAACTAAAGTTTCTCCAAACACACAAACGCCAAAGACCCTTTAGTAAATTTACACTGCTGAAGAACAGGCAGCAGGTACTCACCTTTAGATGGCAGAGTTAGCATTTGGTCTGGAGACTTCGAAAAATACATATAAAAATTTGTTTTGCTCATTTTTTTTCTAGTAGCCATTGTTCGTAAAAGATGGACATGAATTACTGGGAATGTGGAAGGATGAAAGGGAACACGACTGGAATGAGATGGCATGGTGGGGCAGAGGCAGCCCCACACTTGGCAGGAGTCAGGAGACCTGACTGTTCTCATCATCCCTCTCCAGCCCTTCACCACCACCACTCAGTGAGTGACCTTGGGATAATTTCCTAGAACTCTACAAAAACAGAGCCAACAACAGAAATTGTATCACAAACATGGTATGAAGATTAAGTGATGTATATAAAGCATTTAGTACAGAACACTGGTCTATATATAGTTAAGCCCACAATAAATTACTATTTTAAAAAAACTAACAATACTGTCCACCCAGACTAATATTTTTAAAGTACATTCTATGAAAGGTAACATAACATGTCAAAACCAATGTAATTTTACCTGGAGAGACTCAGTGGATCGGCTACCTGAGGTCACCATCCCTTTTTCCATCCTGTTGTAACAGAGCATTCAGCTAATTATCTTTACCTTAGAGCTTTCAGGGAGCAGAAGATTTCTCAGTGGACGCAGGGTATTCAGTTACTCCTATTTAGCAAAAACAAAAGGAAACAAACAAACCCCATAGCATTGGGAAAGTCCATAAGCCACGTGAAACTGGAATGCCCAGAAAAGAAACTTCCTGATTTGTTAAAACATACTGGGATAAAATACTTTTTAGGAAAGGAACATCCAATGCTGGCCGAAGGTGTGAAGAAAGAGGCCCTTCTGAACATTACTGATGGAGTTACATATGGGTAAAATTTTTCTGGAGAGTAATTTGGCAAAGTACATGAAAGGTGCTTTAAAAAGTATGCATAACCTTTAACTCAGGAAGCTGTTCTAAAGAAAAAAACAAAGGCCCGAGTTCCCAAATTTAGCAATATATTCCTTGATAATTTGTAATTTTAAAACCCTGAAAATCAGAACCCAAAAGAATAACAAGACTTTGTGATACATACATATGATGGTAGCTAGATAGCTATACTAAATGTTAAAGAAATATATTCAGAGATTGTCAAATCTTCAATACATATTTTATCGTAACTGAAAAAAGATTAACCATTGTGTTAGTTAAGACCCTCCAGTTAAAAGTAACAAGAAACCAATTCAAGATAGCTGAGGGAGAAAAGGCAGTAGGTAAGATTATGAAGATAATGGGATAAGGGTGAGCAGTAGGGCCCCTTAAAGGAAAAGGAAAGACACTAAGATCTTTACTGTGTCATTCATTTTATATCTCCTGCTATGTCTGTTTCATTCTTCATTTTCATTGCAGACCAGCTTTCCTGGTGATTCCTTCCTCATGGCAGAATATGGCTACCTCTTATGTTCCAATTCTGGAACAGTCGAGTTCTAGACATATGTACATTCAGAATAAAAAAACTGATTGGCCAGGAATGAGTCCACTATGGCCAGATGACATCCAGTACCAATGTGGACTTTAAGGATCCAAAGAAATGGGGCTTTTGAGTATTAGGTAAACATCCCTAAAGGATGTACAAGGATGTACAGAGTCATCTCATTTTTTATTAAGAAGTTGTTTTCCTAGAAAAATTAATAGAAAGATGTAAACCAGATTTTAATAGCAGTTATTCATGGGTGTAAAATGAGAATTTTCATTTCTTTTGCTTATAAATATTTTCAATAATTTATGCTGAAATGTATATTAATTTTATAAATTAAAAAAGTTAATTTTAAAAACTAAACTATCATACCATTATGACATAAAGCTAAGTGACAGGAAAATAAGGTTTTTAAAAATCCACATTGCTTATATCTCTTAACTCTACAAAATATATATGCATAGAAAAAGAATGGAAGACAATAAAATATTAGCAGAGGTACCCCAAGATGACACAATGAAGGATTTATTTTTATTTTCTCATTTATCACTTTCTGAATTTTTAATTGCTCTACGACACGTATGTATTGCTTTTATACTAGAAAAGGAAAGTGTGACGGATGCATATGCCCAGTGGGTTCAGTTTGTGTGTAGGAGACTGGAATACTGTAGATACCACTGTGATCACCAGATAAAAAGACACTGATTTTTGGTGTTTTCCCCATCCTCAAAATATCTGAATACTACTGCAAATTGCCAACAGTAACAACTACTACGACCATGATTTATCTTGGGAATCACTGGCACAGAAAATATTAAAAGTTGTGGAGGAATTCTGAATTACATTTAAGTACGCACTGAAAATAACTAGAGTTTAAAAATAAAACTTGCATGGTACGATTCTACAAACTAGAACTGTTTTAACATATGGAAGATAATATTTAGAGTAATCTTACATTACGAGGTGGGTGATTAACTACTTTCTGCTCCTAGTAGAGAAAAGATTAAAATGACTTTTAGTGTTAGGAGGGTTTCAGCTATACCATCAGCCATGTCAAGCCCAGAAAGATATGAACCAAAAAATAAATTCATGGCCGGGAGCGGTGGCTCAAGCCTGTAATCCCAGCACTTTGGGAGGCTGAGGCAGGTGGATCACGAGGTCAAGAGATCGAGACCATCCTGGTCAACATGATGAAACCCCGTCTCTACTAAAAATACAAAAAATTAGCTGGGCATGGTGGCACGTGCCTGTAATCCCAGCTACTCGGAAGGCTGAGGCAGGAGAACTGCCTGAATCCAGGAGGCAGAGGTTGCGGTGAGCTGAGATCGTGCCATTGCACTCCAGCCTGGGTAACAAGAGCAAAAACTCCGTCTCAAAAAAAAAATAAAATAAAATAAAAAAATAAATTCGTATTTGGACAAACACAAAGTTTAACACTCACTGCATTGCCACATGATGGTTCCCATGTTCCTTTGCCATTTGAAACCTGGCCAACATTAATGAAAATTCTATACATTAAATGCTTGACCCAAGCTCCAAAATTAAATCGTAAATATAAAACCCACAGGAGGGGTGAGAAAACTGGAGAAGAGATTTTCCTACATTCTTCAAATAAGAGATATCTGCTAATGTAAGATAGATTAGTGACAATATCTGGCTTAGAAAGTTTCTAGAGATTTATTTCTAGCTCTCTACATACTGTAATAAAGCCCTAAAAATTTAAAAATACCCACCAATATTACAGGCATGCTGCTTTATAAAATGTGCACTAAAAGTCTAGCCAAAATACTTCACTTTCTCTAATACTTAATAAGTGAGCTAAAACTTTTTAGATTAATAAAAAAGTATTTAAAACTCATATTTTAAACATATTATTCTACTCTAAATAAATGTATACTATTGTACTTTAAAATGTATCAGAGTAAGGTGTTTTCTATTTCTAACCATCCTCAATTATTTTTAAATTAACCACTCTAATTTCACCTCTAAAGGGCTTAATTACATGAAATGAACAAACTCCTCTAAAAATTTTCCTTAAGGAAAAAAATGAAAGGAGATATAGTAAAATGGTGTATGTCAGCCATGATAATTCTAAGGTATACATAAGCAGGGAAAAATGCTCACAATGTAACAAATTCTGTATATAAACAGTCATGCTAAACACAGATTTGTACCAATAAGGATACGGAATTAGATATTAACAACAGTGTTTTCAGAAAAAGATACAGTAATGAGTAAAAAGCATTATGCTATTACAAATGATTTACAGAAACAACTAATTAACCTAACATAAATCCCCTTAAATGCAAACAATACATTATCTTAAGAACTATAGAATATTTTTCTAGTAAATTAGGTATAAAAATTCAAACTCACTTTAAAATATAACACCCAGAAAATAAAGAATACTGTTCCTTTTTTAACATGTATTTCTCAAAATAAGATTCACCATGAACATTATTTTAGATTGTATTTTTACATATTATTTAGCTAACCAAGTGAAAATCCAATAAAACACAAATACGTACTTTCATCAGTGCATAGAACAGCAGTAGGTAGCAAGATTAGAAATCAGAATACAAGTTCAATTGAATAAATACAATACTAGTACAGAGACACTCATTTTTAATCCACAATGAAAAATCTGAGCCATGAATAGGTTTTTCATTTTTAATCTAACTTCTAGATTATCTGTAATTTGACCTTAAAGGGGTCAAAATATTTAATACGAATGAAGCTCATGTTCTAATACCTGTAAAGGTCTAATGCAACAGAAAAACTGTCATTTTATGTTGCTTAGAGTTTTTAACTAAGTCTTTGATATTATTTTGTTTAGCACATGACAGACTTATACACAGATTTTTAAAAATCAAACATGGAATTTCTATATACATCAAACCTTTAACAATGTCTGTCTTTCAATTGCTATTATAGTGTTCAAAATTATACAAACAAACATCCAGTAAACAGCATTTTATTTTATGACACTCTGTGTTAATACAATAAATATACAAAACTTCCAACCCACTGAAACATGCAACATTAGAGGGACACACGGAGGGCGTTTCTGTAGAACCATGACAGTCGCCATGATGGCAGCGAGATATTAGTTACTGACAAAATATACAAACATCTCAAGATAAATAATCCAAGTCCCAAATTACAGATCACTGAGCAATGATTTCCCAGTGTTCAAGCTTTAGTTTAAAATAAAACAGCCAGAATATTATAAACTGAAAAATGACACAGATGACTACTATGTGAAGACCATTTTATGACTATGATTTCATGACTGTGATTTTAGTATTAAATATGAAACATTAACAAACGCCAATCCTTTGCCGAATGAAAATTTAACAATTTACTGAGAGAGAAAAGTAAATGGAAGAATTTAAAGCTCCGTTCATACTTGATCAGACTATAAGCATTGCCATCATTTCAATGCACATGTATTTTTAAAAAAACAATTTTCTCTCTCAAACTTGTATTAAATAACTGAATTTTAAAACATTTTTCCCATTCACACCAAAAAAGACACCGTGGGTTCTAATTATTCTTTGCTATTTAATAATGCTACCTTTGGAGATTTCTACATAATAGAAACATTCCAATTCTGAAGGAAAGTATTTCAGCATTTTTCAAAAGTCTCTAATTGACCTTTTGTTTGTAGTGTATAGAAAAAAATGGACTTGGGATATAAGTTAATGGTGAATATAAGTGCTCTTGCTGTATTTTATGGTTAACGTTTTGAATGTATGCAAAATCTACACTCTATAAAGCACACTGATAAAACAGAATTCCAGTTAAGACTACAGGTTCTGAAAAACAAACTGGCTAAGTTGATTGAGAATGCAGGTAGAAATCATCTCTGATTAGAAATATTTACAAAAACAGCTTTAAATTCATACCCTGAAGAATAAAAGAAATGTCTTCCAAGTACACCTAATGTCAATAGGGTCCCAAATAAATCAAATGTAAACACCATCTGGATGGATCTACGTTACCTAGTAACACGCAACGCTGCTTCATGGATAGTGAGAACTAGGCATTCCACCTCTAGCATAAAACTTCTTCTGTAACTCCAGATTTGGGGAGAATGAAAGTGAGTTAACTATTTATGCCTATCTGATTTTTTTAAAAATATGAATTTCCAGCCTTCAACATCACAATCCTTACTTAAAATCTAATCGAATAATCACTACCTATCATTCTGCAATTAAATTAGCTAAAGGCTTTCAAAACACGGTAGCATGACTTACAAATGTCTTTGAGTCATTTAATCAGTATTAAAATTGATTCAAAGTTTAACCCAAGAATACTGTAAGAATGAAGTTCTGTGCTGCACAGTAACAATTTTAACATGATTATCATAATGCATTTAATTGTATTTATAATTTTCTTGCTTGGTGCAACTCAAATTTTTTTTTCTATTACTGGAAATTTTAGATGTATTCAGTCTGTCTCAAACAGGTGCATTTAGGGATTCAAGTATATAAAAAAAATGCCAGGGCCTTTTTGTTTTTAATGAGACTGGAGATGAAAAACTAAAAGAAAAATCCCTTAAATACTGTACATTATTTTTAGACAAGGGTTAGGCTAGCCTTTAATACCTCTGTTAAAAATCACACACACACATATCCCCAAATAAGAACTGCCAGACACAATCTTAGCTGTAAGCACAGAATATACCAAAGTTTTTCATATAGCAAAATGTTACTATATGAATACTGAATATTTAAAAAAAAATTATTACCGCTACATTCTATTGCATTAACTACCTTCTCTTTTGGATAATGCACTGCATATTATATTAAATTCTTATATTGCACCCCCAAACTTTTTATTTAAAAGAAACTCTTACAGAGAATCACATCTGTGATTCCATTAACCCCTGAATCCTACAACCATAGCAGTACAGAAGCCAAAATACTAATTCTTTTAATATCAGAAATGTGGCGCCCATGCAAATCAGAGATTGTTATCAAAATATCAACTACTCCAAAAAAAAGAAAAGAAAAAGATGATAAATTTTACATTATCTACCACAAAATGCACATAGGCTCTTCACTGGTGACTGAAACAGCTAAAAAGCAAGCCAATTTAAAATCCCTAAGTCTCTGCTGGCCTATTTGTTTCAATATAAATAGGGAAAAGGAATAAAACATAGCTTTACTTTTCCAATGTGCAATCCTTATCTCTAAAGATTCTTGAAAGAACTACTGCAGTTAGTATTAAATGCATTTTAATCATAAGTACCATTATTAATTTCAGTAGGTCACCACTGAAATAATTCACTGAACATGTCATCCCCCAAAAAATATGGAGAATATTTAGCAAGTCATATATTTTTCTGCAAGGGGCACTGAAATATTAAGAAACTATTAGGTAAAGTAATAAGACAAGGAAGTTTTCCTGGTTTTAGCCCATGCACAAGTGAACAGGAAATATCCATGCTGTCTGTACTGTGTGTTTTGAACATAAAAATATTTGTAGAATACAGTAACTGGAGAAAAAAGTACAGTCAAAAGGTAACAGTGTATTGTTTGAAGATTCTTAAATTTGGTTACCCTTGAAAGCATTCTGAGCTGCACTAGTTGCTGCAGTTGAAGCTGCATTCGCAGCTGCAGTCTGGACAGTTTTGTTGGACATCACACCTGTTGCAAACTCTTGTTGGGCCTTCTCAAAGCTAGCACCTGTTGTGCGATATAGTCCATGTACCTACAGAGGCACAAAAAAGTGGAAGAAGGTAAGTAGCAACCTACACATTCATACCAAGCAGCTCCTAATCTCAACATTGATCAAACATAAAAGGACTAGATTGCAGTCATGATTCCTAAGATCAAGAACACTAGCTATTGCATTTAAACATTTTTTAATACAGGTTTTTCTTTTCTTCTCCAAGCAGAAGAGATAATTATGTAATTCAAACCAAAAATAAAGAACTTCTTAGCCAACTGCAACAGTTGTATTTTCTTCTACACCCAATTAGTCACGTGAAATTATTACAGCATTACAATGGAATGGTTTAAACATAATAACAAGAAACAATTTAATACATTAATTTATTATCCCAGACTATTCAGACAGAACAATACCTTATCTATTTCTATTTTAGCTACATATACACCACAGGCCCTGTTATAATCAAATAAGATCATTTTATCATTTAATCTACCAAGCACCACTTACGTCCTTCAACATACTGCAGCTATGCACATACAACTTAACTTTTTGTGTATGGTCGAGTCCTAAAGAATGCACAAAGAAACATTTCTGGGAATTGTTTTTCCATACTGATTCATTACTCAAGTATTGGGGTTTATTTTCAGGAATAGGGTTCAAAAATTTTCTATCAGTGTATGTCTTAATCTGCATAATCAAACTATGAGTCCATCAATACACAACATCAGCCACTTACTTTAACACAAATTTGAAGAAGGAAATAACAAGCATTTATTAATTATATGCCCACAAACTTTGCAGAGTGGAGAGAGAAAGATAAGTGAACTGGTAATTATACTGCACTGTGACTGGATCTAAATCAGAAGCTTGACTGAAATGCAATCAAAGCAGGCTTAGGGAAGGGGCCAAGGCAACCTAGTTAGTCCTTTTTTCCAAACCTGGATAGGAACTGGCAACGGTGGAGTGAGAAAAAGGAGAGTGAGTCAAAGACTCTCAAACTTGCATTTTGGGAGTAGTTTCAAGAAGACAGAGAAGAGAGGATAAGCTAGTTTGGGGAGAAGGGAGATGGTAAGTTCTAAAAATCTGTCCATTCATTCCAAGTCAACTGACAACCTACTGGAGGCCTGCCACAGCAGGCAGGTGAAGATTTGGTTTAAAGCTCAGGAGAGGAATGGGCTAAAGACCTGGACGTCAAAACCAATGACGTATGTTATGGACTGAATGTCTGTGTTCCCCCCAAAATTCTTACGTTAAAATCCCAACCACCAATACGATGGTATTAGCAGGAGGGCCTTTGCAGGGGTGATTTTGCCATCAAGGTGAAGCCTTCATTAACAGAATAAATGCCCTTATAAAAGAGACCCCAAGGCCCAGTGTGGTGGCATACACCTATAGTCCCAGTCACTTGAGGGCAGGAGTTGGAGGCTGCAGTAAACTGTGACTGCCCCTGCAAACAGCCTTGCACTCCAACCTGGGCAATATACCAGGACCTCATCTCTAAAAACGTTCACTTTTTTTTTTTTTTTTAATGAGAGAGAGACTCCAGAGAGCTCTCCGACAACCTTCCATCACATAAGGACACAGAAACTGTCTATGAACCAGGAAGTTGGCCCCCACCAGACACTGAATTTGTCAGTGCCTTGATCTTGGACCTCCCAGCCTCTAGAACTGTGAGAAATCATTTGTCACTTAAGCCACCCAATCTATGGTATTTTTGTTATAGCAGCCCAAAGGGACTAAAACAATATATAAATGGTAGCTGAAACTTGGCATTTATGAAATTGTCCATGGAGAACCCAGAGTAGAAAGAGAATAAAATCAAGTATATAACCTAATTAATGCAGAAACAGAAAACCAAGTATCATATGGTCTCACTTATAAGTGGGAGTTAAACACTGGGTACACATGGACATAAAGACTACAACAATGGGCATTGGGGACTTACAAGGTAGGGGATAGGAGGGGGAGAAGAACTGAAAAACTACCTATTGGATACTATGCTCACTACCTGGATGACAGGCTCAACTATACCCCAAACCTCAGCATCACATAATATACCCTTGTAACAAACCTGCACATGTATTCCCTGAATCTAAAATAAAAACTGAAATAAAAAGACACTATTTAAGAGGCATCCACAAGAAGGAGAAATGACTGGGAAAGAAAGAACCAGATACTTCTCACTGATGCCAAGAGAAGCATGTTAACACATGAAAAGCTATCAAGAAATCTTAACACATGAAAAACTATCAGGGTACAAGATAAAAATAACCCAGACAGCCCAAGTGCTTCTGATATAGTGGTAAAAGCAAACACCCTATTACTACAGATCAAAGTGTCAAATGGTTAGGAAGAGAAAGAGAGCACTGACAAGAACATACACTGGTAAACCCAAATATTCCTTTCCCCTAGTACCTTAGCATTATCGTAAGTATAAAAGTAATTATTTTTATTCCCTTTGAAAATCAAGTTTTCTATGGAAAATTAAAGATACAGATAAATTACTACTCCTGTGTTCTAGACACTTATCTCAGTGAATACAAATGATTGGATCCTAGAAAAATGAAATGTATTATAGAAATCTTATCAACCTTCTTTACTTACTAGACCCAATCAGAGCAATGCAATTAATTACAAAATCACTTATCTGTCTCTTCCCCTCGTCCCCCAAATTTGTAAGCATGTAATACATAAATGTGAATTCTTATTTGCTTTATTATTTCCTTTTTCAAACTTGTATTGAGTGGCTGATACTATGTGTTCATGGGCTTCACAGTGTACTAAAATGTAATTCACAGTCCCACAGAACATAGAAGCAAAATAAAGGTAGGAATAGCACACATTTCTCAAGAGTTTGTATCTATATAGACCCAGAGAGCCACCTAGAGGGAAAAGACCACATATAGATACAGTGCACAATGCTCAAATACTGTACTAAATCCATTATATTCATGTGAAAAGGCTGAAGTGCTGATTTCAGGGCCCCATAAAAGATGATAGGCTAATCATAAGGATCAATATATTTAAAAGCTTATTACTTCCCTCTAGGGTTTCAGATTGGTATCTATTGATAATTCACACTCCTGGTATCAGGAACAAGGTTTTGACACTAAGTACTAAAATTTTTTTAAAAAATTAAACAGGTCTGTTGGGGGGAAATAGGGGAGGGACAGCAGGGGGTGGGGAGTTGGGGAGAGATAGCATGGGGAGAAATGCCAAAATATAGGTGATGGGGATGAAGGCAGCGAATCACACTGCCACATGTGTACCTATGCAACAATCTTGCATGTTCTTCACATGTACCCCAAAATCTAAAATGCAATAAAATAAAAAAATAAATAAAAATAAAAATTAAAATTAAACAACTTGGGGATGGGGGACAAAGGCAGTGATAGCATTAGGAGAAATAACCTAATGTAGATGACGGGTTGATGGGTGCAGCAAACCAGCATGGTACATGGATATCCATGTATGTTATACTTCTTCTTTTACAGGGTTTATGTCCATGCTATATTATATCCCACATGCTTTTACTTGCCTAAGGGCAATCACTGTTATATCCCCTAAAAGACACAGCTTGGTAATCTGCAGTAGAAGCCACTGAATAATTATTTGTCTACCTGCTAGGGATTAAATGTTCCAAAATTGTCCTCATTAATAATTTTTTTAAGGTACTAAGTAAGTGCAGTATGGCTTAAGGAGACTATACTTGTGTTACAAAGTAAAATGCTTAGTTTGCAGTCACCTCAGAGGTTACATGTTTTAAAAGTAGACATACTACTTCACACCTGCTAGGATGGCTGGAATGAGAAAAATGGAAAACCACAAGTGCTAGCAAGAATGTAGAGAAAGTACTGGTGGGAATGTAAATTGATACAGTCCTTGCAAAAAAGAGTTTGGAGGCTCCTCAAAAAGCTAAACATAGAATTACATAAGACTACATAGCAATTCCACCCCTGGGTATACACATACACAAGAGAAGTGAAAGCAAAGATTCAAAAAGATACCTGTACACCTAATGTTCACAGCAACACTATTCAAAATAGCCAAAAGGTGGGAAAATATCAAGTGCCCATCAACAGATAAACACAATGTGGTATACAGATACAATGGAATAGTATTCAGTCTTAAAAAGGAATGCATTTCTGATACATGCTGCAACATGGTGAACCTTGAAAACATGGTAAGTGGAATAAGCCAGGTACAGAAGGAAAATATTATATAATTCCATTTATATGAAATATCAAAAATAGACAATTCATAGCAGATTAGAGGTTGCCAGAGGCTGAGAGTTGGGAGGAATAAAATTATTGCTTAAAGATTAGCGTTTCTCGCCGGGCGCGGTGGCTCAAGCCTGTAATCCCAGCACTTTGGGAGGCCGAGGCGGGTGGATCACCAGGTCGAGAGATCGAGACCATCCTGGTAAACATGATGAAACCCCGTCTCTACCAAAAATACAAAAAATTAGCTGGGCATGGTGGTGCGTGCCTGTAATCCCAGCTACTCAGGAGGCTGAGACAGGAGAATTGCCTGACCCCAGGAGGCGGAGGTTGCGGTGAGCCGAGATAGCGCCACTGCACTCCAGCCTGGGTAACAAGGGCGAAACTCCGTCTCAAAAAAAAAAAAAAAAAAAAAAAAAAAAAGATTAGCGTTTCTCTTTGGGTTGATAAAAAGTTCTGGAAATAGCAGTGATGGAATAGTAGTAGTACATTACAACATTGTTAATATAATTGATGCCAATGAATTGTACACAAATAGAATTAAAATGACAAAGTTTATGTTATACATATTTTGCACAATTTTAAAAAATGCAATATACCAAAAGCCATTAAATTACACACTTAGGTTTTTTAAAAAATTATTTTGTATTTTTTAGACACAGGGTCTCACTCAGTAGCCCAGGCTAGAGTATAGTGGTATGTAATCACAGCTGACTGCCGCCTCAAACTCCTGGGCTCAAGTGATCCTCCCACCTCAGTCTCCCCAACAGCTAGGACAATAAACTCACATCACCATGCCTGGCTAAGTTTTTGTTT